TCATAGCAATCCAAAGGTAAGCGTATTCTAATGTGATCTTTTGTGTCTCTTAAATGAATAAAATGTACTTAGACCATGGAAGTACTTCAATTAAATGATTTTTTTGGATTTCAATTAAATGCATTCTATTAAACGGATTTGAAGACACTATAGTTATTTAACATAGAAGAAATAAATAATTTAACCATTCAACTATATATGGGAGAAAATATACTAGTAAGATGTTTTTTAATTTACTAAAACATTACTAGAGTTAACTTCATGGATAAAAATATGACCAAAACTATTATGAGTATATTTTTATAGTCACAATGATGTCTAATGATCATAATTATTATCACAAAGAGTTACTTCCTCCGTTCCTAATTTATCTTCCATTTTGATTATGCACACTGATTAAGAAGAGGAAATGCTTTGTATTGACTTTCCAGGTTTGCGCGTTCAGTTTTTACCGCAAGAAACAAATGGAAATGAATAGTAAAAGGCAGACAACATCTCTACCTGATGCGTACAGTAAAAGCAACATGCTTTTACAAAATAAAAGTGCCATTCGGGCGGGAGTTTTCATCACTCCCTCCAAAATAGTATTTGAACTATCTATATATAGCTACTCATATTACAATAAATATATCATCACAAATTACAATAAAATGTTCAAACATGACCAAAAAAGCTTTCAAACGAAGCTAAACACAAGATTTTGCATCATCTTCTGTCTAACTCCATAAATGGTGTGGTGAGGAAGGGAGTGAAATTTGCACTAGTTGAAGAACATAAAGTGTCACAAAGGGGTATCACATATATATGGGACCCTTTAAAGAAATGTCAAAGGGAAAGTGTACATGTCAATGTTAACAGAATGATGGGTGGAAAGGTAGTAGGAAACCATCAATACTACCTGCAATTGACTTTAAGGACATAGAACTTCATCGAAGGAAGACCATAATTAAGAAGTCTGACAACTGTGAAAGGTTGTCCCCAAACAAATGTGCACAGACTTATACAACAAGATAACATTAAAGTACACAGAAATGCTATGAAAGCACATCCGACCAACTCAAATATGACTAGGAGGAATGGGCCATTTCACACATTATCCCCCACTCATTCACAACTCATCCACTGTTTGAACTCATGTTCAACTATATGCATGTGGGTTAGAAGTGGTTTTACATGACCAAAGCCTCACAAAGGTACTATCTCACTCCAGATGAAGAGGAACCCCTCACATAACTTGTAAGTAGTCAAAGAGATACATCACAAAAGTGATGTTTCTCTGTATTAGGGCTAGGCCAAGATTTTTAGAAGATTTAGAGGTCTTATTTGATGGAGAAAATAGGCATTTTTCCATTCACTGAATTTTAGGCACCAAAAAGGATAACAAAAACAGAACAATTGGTACAATTGAGGAAAATGCAATTGACATTGTAACTAAAAATGTGTACAAAGAATGTTTACTCAAAAAGTGCTCCCTGCCATCAAAGTTGTAGGTGACCAAATGATGCATTTGGAGATATTTATATCCAACAAGACAACGTCAAAACACATATATAGCTCAATGACATTGATTTCATGAAAGAGGGTATTAGTGAAGGATTTAACATCAAACTACCATGATTACCTATAAATAATCATGATCTAAGTGTTCTACATCTAGACTTTTTATATCAGCTCACTCCTTACATGTAGTACGTGAGATTAATTTAGAGGGATTATTAGTACTACTCATACAAACAGGGTATATCTCCTTTTAAGGGAGCTCATTATCTAAGAACTTCAAGTTAAGCGTGCTTGCACTGGAGTAATATTGGGATGGATGACCCCTTGAGGAGTTTCTCGCTAGTGGTGGTTTGTGATGACAGTACTAGAGGTCCGTAGAGTAACTACCTCAGGCCCTACGGGGCAGAGTGTTACATTACATCAAGCAACACCAAGTTCTACAGTTTCTGAGTTAGTGATAGGTTGTACCGGTGATCAAAGCATTTGAAGAGTTTAATCCCTATAGTTTGAACAAGGTTTTGTTATCATTCCAGATGTGTATGAAGGATATATTAATTGTTAAAGGTAACAACAACTACAAATTAATTCACATGAGAAAGGACGAGTTACATGCTCATGGGGAATTACCTATCTGAATTGATGCACACACAACAACAATGAGGAAAGTGATGGAGTTGTTAGACAATGGTAGCACCCAGACTTAGGCAGCTACTGGTTTTTGGGGTTTGGGTAAAAACATGGTCGTTGTATATTAAGCTTTGGTTTTGTGTTTTTGAGTTTTGGGTACAAACATGGTCTTGGTATTTTAGGCTTTGGTTTTTGTGTTTTTGGGTTTGGGTACAAGCACAGCCTTGGTATTTTGGCTTTTGTTTTTGTGTTTTTGAGTTTTGTCGTTTTGGGTTTTGGGGTGCAAATACAAACAATTTTCACAAACAAGACAATGTCATTAACTATGAAGGCTCACTATCTTATTTCGGCTCAGTATTAAGCACAAGTTCATCACACTAAAACACAAAGGCAGTTAACTTGGCAACATATAACCATACCAATCAAGCAACTACTAAAATGCCTCCCTAAATAGCCCATCAGTTAGGGCACAAACATCATGTAGGCATTGAGAAAGTTAGATAACATACATACAAAATACTAATCATATATGCAATCAATTATGGATTTCTGTACGAAAAGACAAAGGAGGTTATGTTAGAAGAAAAATATGAATTGAAACTCGTAACCATGACCTAACAAAGAATTATGCTTCCACAATTTTGTACATTGGGTTAAGCATGTAACATGTTAAGGCCATTAAAGGTCCATGCATCCACACAAGAGTACGAAAAAAGAATAAAAAACAGAGAGGTATCGTATTCATTTCTTGTAAAGAGGCATCCGTTTTGAAACCATTTTGTCAATTAATTCTTGAACATTAGGGTCTGGGTAAGGAGGATGGTGGATGGGTAAAACTGTAAAAATGTAGAACATAATCCACACTTGTTGTATCCACCGGCCAAAGGTAGATATCTGGCTATCAACTTATCGCTGGAGACTTGACACTTGGAACAATCATCGACCTACAGGGCCGGCCTAGAGGGAGTGTGGGCAGCCCAACCACACAGGGCCAACAAAATTGGAGGGTCCAAAAAAATTTTAGTAGTAGTATTACTCTATGTTGCACGGATACGGATACGCCGATACGCGAATACGGATACGATGATAGGCAACTTCAAAAATTGTAGGATACAGGTATGGAGGTATATTTATAAATAATAATAATATAGGGTATAATTTGCAAATATATATAATTTAGAGGTTCACGAATAAAATAATAACAGTACAAAAAATTAGCAATTATAATAAAATTTGAAAGATTAGACTAAAAAAGCTAAAGTACTAATATTTCGATTTAAATTCAATTAATGTTTTTTGTTCTCTATTTGCATTCGCATCTAAGTCTTTTAACAAGACTGATTTCAATTAATGCTCATCAAGCGATAAATTGGCAAATTATAGCATCCCAATATTTTCTATACTCCCGAAATCATCTTTACTAATGTTTCACATATTGTGGTCACTTGATTGGCTACTAAATTTTCGTCATGTCATGTATGAAATCATGGTTATATGGTTAGATACGTGTATTGTTTCACGGATACGAGTATCGAAAGTATCTATGTTTTTAAAAACAAGTCCAACACTGTCATCAAATTACGAATATGAACTCAATACATACCCAACACGCCTAGTTAGCTTTTTTAAGTTTAAAACGCGTTTTAAACACATGCCATTTTTTTGAACAAGAAAACACGTTTAAAACGAAAAATAATGTCAGTCCGTTTAAAAAGGAAAAAAACTTCCACTTCCCGTATAAAATGTATATTTCTCGTACTTTTAAAAAAATAAAAATATCATTTGATCACTTGAATGAATACATCAAATGAATAGGGGATCAACAATAGTTTAAAAGCAAAAAAGAAAACTTCATCCCCGTGACCCCGTGTTTTTGTATTGTTACAAAAAAAAAATACAATTGTTAAATACTAAACTAATTGCATGATAACTAAAGCTAGCATCCTAATTAAAAGACTAAAATCTAAAATACTACTATGTACTAGATTTGTGATGTTCTTTTCCAAACAAGCATATCAAAATTAAGGTTTTTCTAAACCTGACTTTTTTTGTATAAACTTTTACACGTAAACATAATAAGTGTAGCAGTCGAACAACTTTCTCATGTCATCTGTCATCTAGGTGAATATGATGAGTTTAACTTGAGTGTTATTTAATGATCATATAAAGATGATGATTATGTTTATTGGCCTCATTCTATCGTTATTATGCCTTATTTTCTGACATTACTTTGCAAAATTATGTCTTGGATTTAATTACTCCGTACTATTTTTACTTTTGTCATCGACTTATGCAATTACGAATTATTCTTTGATGTAGTAATGTGATTTGCTACTTCAATATGTGTACACTTTTATTTCTTTGTATTATATGTTATTTTATGAAGTATATAATATAAATGTTATTTTGGACTTGATCATTATTTCTTTTTTTGTCATGAATTTATGCTATTATGAATGCATCTTTTGATAGAGTAATGAGCTATTATATTTGAATGTGTATGTATGTTGATTATCCTTTATGTACTACTCTGTATATGTTTTTATGCTCTAAAAACTAGTACAATAATTTAATCATTCAAAATAAGATCCGTATTTTTAACCCGTATTTTTCTAAATGATGCTGTATTATACACGTATACGTATTTACACGTTTTATAAAAGACAATGTATTTTTTGCCGAATTTTTGACCAAATTTTTGTTCAAGTACCGAATAAAACACGTACGTATTAAAACACGTTTAGTCAGCGTATTTAAGACTATCAACACGTATCGGTGAGTATCTTTGTCTAATGTCTAAGGCATAGGGGTGATGTATCCTTGCACCATAGGTATTAGTATACAGTACTCTACTGCTCCCTATCAGTTAGCCACTTACCCAATAGCAAAATTAAAACAAGGAGCGGGAGACGGAGTGAAGGGCTGAAGGCGTGAAGCCAAGGGGAGGGGGCGAGGGGGGAGGGGCGAACAGGGAACTGCGATTCTGGATTTCTGTTAAAGACGAAGTGCGAAAGGCCGAAGGGCGCAACCAAGTAGCCAGCGACTGAGTGAAACGAGCGACGAGCCAAATCAGCCGACGAATCTCCGTCTCCTTCCCATCCGCAATTGACGAGCAGACTGAGCGAGACCTGCGGCTGGGGACTGCGGTTCTTCACTCGTTTTCTTCTTCTCATCAGCAAATCGACGACTCCACTACTCCAGGTAAGTCCTCCACTCCTCCGTAACTAATAAGAAATAAATTAATAATTTATTAATGTTTTGATTATTAATTTTTATGTAATTTATGACTTTCTGTGAATGTGTGATTTTAATCATTTCTTAGGACCAATGGGGATTAGGGATTTAGGTTTTGGCCTACTAACCTGATGAATTGATGAAATAATGAAATTTAACAAATTAGGTTGTTATGTATAATTTAATGTAATTAATTCATGAATTAATTAAACTATTTATATTTAATAAATTGGTATAAATATGTTTGTACTTGTTAAGTTGTTAGTTATAGTCCTTAAACAAAAAATAAATCAACTTTTCACTTAAATCAAACTGACATTAAAACCACATGGAATCTAAAGGGCTTGGATTATATAACTCTGTGTTAGTTCAACAAAATCTTGGAGGAGCAATCTTGTTACAATATTATGCATTCCATGGTGTCCAGGTACTGCTCATTAGTTTGAACAGTTGATACTTGATAACTGCCAGATTACTTAGTTTCAATCTGCCGCTAGTAATGGTTATTGTAGATGATCTATGTAAGGCTCTTTTTTCATGTTCTGTTGATTAAATCATCTTATCTTGAAAAGAGGCGTTATTCACACAAATTATCTTCTTGTGGATTTGGGTTGTAGTGTTGTACTAAGGGTTTGTTCTTTTTCACACAGATATTACTAATTCTATTCAACCACTAGTTTCAAGAAAAAAGTACAGGATTATTGGAGGAGTAATGGAGGATTTCAATAAATTGATACTTTTCACTTAATGAGTGCTTTGGTTTTTATTATTTTCTTTATGAACTTGTAATTTAACACAAAGTATTAGTATTTGTTACTATTATGATTTTTGTTTATGTTTTATTTCTATTTGTGTTAGAAAGGAAGGTTGTTATTGCAGGAGTTCTTCATACATGCTCTGTAATTGCTTGGGGTTCTTCATACATGCTCTGTAATAGTTTGATCCTCATCTGAGTTTGCTTGCGAGAGCTTGTGTTTCTGCATTTGATTGTGATATATCTCCCTCATCCACTCAGCCATAGTTGAAATTAAATTGGTATTGTGGTAAATCTTTATTTCTCTCATGCAGTAGTGTATCATTTTTGTTTACTGTCTAGTCCATGTGGTGAAGTTTTGGATACTGAGGTATATATAAATCCTTGTCAGATATTTCACTAAATATAGTAGTAAAAACAATATGAAAATTTGAAAATAGTAGTACCATGTTCTTTCCTGTAAATTTGAGTGATTACTGTCATGATTGGGAAATAGTGAAATACTATGAATTATGGCATTAATGCTGCCATAATTCAAAAATAGTAGTACAATGGTAATGCCAAAATATGTCCTTGTGATTTCATAATTGAAGTAATCCACTACTTTTTTCGGGAAAAAAATAATAAGACTCATAATTTCAAATTTTACTCTGTTTTCACTCTTATTTTTGGAAATTTTCCACTGTACTGTAAGCTTTTCTGTGTAAATTTAAAGTTCTTGCTCGCTCTTCTCTCTGCAGGATTGTGTTCTTATTATTGAATTCTAGTTTAGCTCTCTGTGATGGAAACCTCTGCTGAAGAAGAGTTGTCTGCATTTGAAGCGAAAGTGAAACGGACCGTGTATATTGACAACCTCTCACCACTGGTTAACGAATCAGTCCTTAGGTCTGCCTTTGGCCAGTTTGGGAATGTCACGGGGGTTCAGTTTATTCCCAATTACTTGGAACCAAATGAAACCTCAAAAGCTGCTTTGATTGAGATGGAAAATGCTAGGCAGGCCGAAGGGATAATATCTGACATCTCTAATTCCCCTTTTATGGTATCTGGGATGCCAAGACCTGTCAGGGCACTCCCTTCAGAAGCTTTGATGTTTGATGAGCGCCCGAGAAGACCGGGAAGGAAAATACACTGCCGTTGGTTGGAATCCGATGATCCTAAATATAAGGTGGCCGAGAAGCTTGTACAGTTGACCAGGAGACATGCTGCAGAGGCCTCTTTCCTCCGCACGGTATGTTTCAATTCCGTTCTCTTCTTTTCACAATTTCCATTCTCATATATTCAACCATAAAGCACAATAACTGGGAATCGAGAAACGTGGCAGTCTGAAACGTCATTTTTTATGTGTAAATATATTAGACAAAAGAGTATATGTGCAAGTAATTGAATATACTATTATAACAATAGTAATTAATTATGAACTCCATATTTTGGAATAAGTTTGCTCTTTGTTACGCATGATGCAAAAAGATTTTAAATACAACTCCCTCTAATGAATAGTTTGTTGATCATCTGTACTTTTAGTGTCAAGAGCAAGAGGATAAAGAGCTTGCAAGCCAGCAAGCAGAGGCATTGAAGTCCAACTACAAGAAGTATGAGCTGATTGACAATGTTTTTGCTGACAAAACCGTCCATAGGCTGGGAGATCGATACCATGTCCGTGTCTCAGATGCTTGAAGACTTGTTCCCATCCCATTCTGCAAGCTTGGGCATCTTATTCAAATGATGTTTTTGTTTGTGAGCGCATGTATTTAGTGATCTTTTATCGTGATCATATTTTGGTTGCATGCTCTTTGTAGTTACTACGCGCTTATGCAGTATCTTAGTTTACTACAATAGCAACTCTGATCCACAAATCATTCAAGGCGAGTGGCAGGATTAAAAGGATATTATGGCATAGACCTTTGGATGCATGTTTAAAATTATCAGCTTAGGATGTTTTTACTTAAAATTAATTTTTTGTTCTAGTTCTGAAATTAATTCAAGTAAAAACATCCTTATACTACTTTCCTTTGTGACTTAAGATCCCCATTAAAAAATAACACTATTCTTTGGCAATATTATATTTTGAAAAGTAATTTGGGTGAGTACATAGTGTAATAGAGTAAATGGTAATGTTTGTGACGTTATGGACTTATTAACGAGACAAGTGAAAACCTTTATTTGTGATGGAGGAAATAATTACTTCGTATTAAAGTGCATCTTTACCTTAATACTTCCTCCATTGCAATTTGATTTGCATTTATTTTAATTGTTTCAAATTGTTTTTGAACTTTCACCTTTAAGTAAATGGATGAAACAAATGACGTGTATACCTTTGCACTTTTTGTCCCCATTTATGCACATACTCTATTAACTCTCACCCCCCATCCAAAGGCCAATTGGCTTTCGTCGGAATTGTTTGATTAATAGGTTGTTTACTGAGCTCAAGTACAAGGAAACAATAAGGCAAGACATATGTTTCGAGACAATGTTCACTCAAGTTTATAGAAAGACTGCACATTTATGTGGAGCGGTGCCCCGATCCTCTAGAGTAAGTTGGGTGCTATTGAGAAAACTAAAGAGAAGTGTAATGCTTAAGAGTACACAATAAGATTGTCAACTCTTTACAAAGAAATAAATGCTTCTACTTATACTATAAGTGAGTAGGTGGGGAATGACGTGGCCGACCATGAGTGGCTGAGTCTTAATCATAAATTCTTCACTATTTAATGCATTAAATGCGCTCCCCTCCAACTCTGAGGTTTCTCGCCAAATGCTTTGAAGCGTTCTGACATGAGCACCTGCTGGACTGAGTGGAAAATCCCAAATGAGGGGAAAAGACCGTACGGCAATACCCATGCGAGGGATGCCGAACAGCAAACGGGTATACCGAGTTGTCTACATTTGCGAAAGGCCCATATTTGATCTGGGCCTTCAGGAATATTTAGACTTGTAGTGGGCTAGGGTCTAATATCCCAACAAATATGTTTTAGCATCATTAACATTACATGCAATTATAAAAGTGATGATCAGATATATCATGAAGTTTGTGGAAATGTGTCGATGATCAGATGATCTTTATCAATTTTATATTATGTGAGCAAGGTAAATATCCCCTCTCTTAATGAGTATTAATTAGCATGAGCACGCGTAATTAGGGTGTCACTTGCTAGAATTAATCTTGCTTGAGAATTAAGAAAAAAGATTGAGAAAAAAAGATCATTATTAGAAAAAAATTATTTGCTACAGACAAATGCAACAAAAACCCCGTTTTGTAGAACTTTTTATCGCTGTCGTTGTACGCAAAAAAAATTGAAAAATTAATACACTTGCTTTCTTTTAACCCACCTTCCTACAAGTTTCGAACTTGTAATCACAAATGTACCTGAAGCGTGCATAGACCCTTTGAGTATGTTTGACACAACTAGCTGAAAAGATACTTTTATAAGCTTTTTAGTAACTGTTAGCTTTTAGTGACTGAAAAGATCTTAAAAGAAAAAAGTAGTAGTTGTTTGATAAAAAGCTGACTGTTAGATTTAGGTCTGTTTGGTATACAAATTGTTCGGACTAATTAATGCTAGAAGCTACATACTTATTTGAGATGCTACTCACCGTAGCATCTCAAAAAAGATCTTTTATTTTTATAAAAGCTCTTAAGAAATTGACATGTAAAACATACAATTAAAAGCTTTTAAAGGCGTTTTAAATATTACAAAAACTATTAATAGAAACCACTTTATTCGTGATACAACCATTTGTAGAATATACTCACACACACCATATTTATCACATATGCAGTAAGTATCTTCACTAGCTTATATCCACAGAAGGCAAAGACTTATGTCTGTCAAACATAGCCTATATCCACTTCCAAACTACTAAGCTAGTGAGCATACCTAGTGCATATGTGATAAATATGGTGTGTGTGAGAGTATATTCTACAAATGGTTGTATCATGAATAAAGTGGTTTCTATTGATAGCTTTTGTAATTTTTATAGTGGATAGTATCTTTAATGTTATTTATGTAATTCTGTTATATATTTAGATCTAATTTTTTTATTTATAGAATTATATGCACAAACATTGTATGTATATTATAACCATGTATGTGAGTATTTGATAGATATCGTTTTTTTTTTCACAACTTGATACTTAGAAAGAAAATTATAAAGTACAAAAAGCGAAATACATGAAAATTTCTAGAAAGACGATGATATCTTCCAACATATACAAATATACTATTTCACATATCTCAAAAAATATGTGGTTTTAAAAAAATAGTGTTCGATATAGGATTAAATTATATATAAATTTCAAAAATAAGACTAAGTATATTTTATCTTGTTTTTAGTACTTCTAATGAATTTTCTTTTAAAACAATTACCCGATTGTATACCTGAGCGCGAAACAAAATGCATTTGAGATTATCAACAATTGTATAATAGACATAGAGCAGACACATATATCAAATTAGACCATGTTAGACTTAAACATGTTAGATCAAACCAAAATATGGCAAATCCGATCAGGTTTAAATAACCCAAATCAAAGCAGATCAGAAAAATATAGTCAAATTAAAAACAGCCTAACAATATTTTACATGAAAAACAACACTATGTACCGCGAATATTTTTAAGTGGGAGGAAATTTCATAGTTTAGTTTGGTTTGAATTTTTCTGGTCTGGAAGATTTATGTTATGTGTATTTTATAAATGTTGAAGTCTGGTATGATGTGGTTTGTATGAATTTTGTCTCATATGACTAATCTCGAACTAAAATCATTTCAATTAGAAACTGTCAAAGTTTTGTCTGATTTGATCTGATTTGTTGAAGTCTGAACTGGTGCACTATGATGTTTTTGTACTAAGAGGTCATTTGGTAAGGCATAAAATGATTACTTTGCATGTGAAGTGAAGGAACATTAAATATTCACATTGTTTGATTTGATTGTTTGATATAAAGTGTATGACACTTAAAAACATTTTGGAATGTATCATCTAAAGTATTTTATATGGAGTGAAGGTGATAAAATATTTTGTATACTTTTTATAAAATTGTAACGCCTTTACAATCAACTTGAAAATAAATTACACATGCAATCGAAGAATGTAATTTACTTGCATGTGCAAAGATTTAACATGTTAACTATGGAACGAGCTAACCAGTGCACTATTATAAAGCTATAATTAATGTTGTTTTATGTTGACATTACTCAGAATATTCGATATGCTTTGATTCTCGGTTGTTTTTATTCCATTTTTTTAATCTCATACGGGTCATACAAGAGTACTTCAATTCGTATATTTATCTCCGTTCCACTCAAAGGTTCCAAAAAACTATTCACATTGTCAACTTAAATCAATTTTAATCTTTTACTTTATAAATCAAATTTTTATCAAATTTACATTTTTTTATCAGACTTTGTAGCGATTTTAATGCATTTTTTGAATATGTAAACTTTATTGAGTTTTTCCCCTGAATATTTCTAAACTAAAGCTAATTTCAAAAAATGTGACCACATTTAAATTTGAACAAATAAGTGACTAAAATAGTTATACATTTGGGAAAAACTAAAGTGACTACCAAATATTCATGTCACTACACAAATTTCATGTCACTGCCGCCACCGCCCATGTCACTGTCACTGCTCATGTCACTGTCGCCTCACATGTCACTGTCGCCACTGCCGCCGCCACCGCCGTCACACGCCGTCACCGGTCATCGTGACATCTTTGCAGTACCATCTCCACCACAACCTCAGACCACAATGACATCCCTGCCATCGAATACCGCCACCACCGGTCACCGGCCACAGTGACACCCCAGCCACAGTGACACCATTGACAGTGACTCAAGTTAATCACCGCCGGCAACCCCTACTACTGCCGCCACAACCGTCAAGGGTGACACCACATATTCCTCCTGCTCCATCCAATCCTCCAATCCCACCCCACACCTGTCCCACCCCCAGCCCACTCGTCCAGCTCAAGATCTGAACAGCCATGCCCCAACCCACCCATTCCCAGCTCCAGCTCCGACAAACCAGACAAGCCCCGACAATCTCAAATCTGGTCTCTTTCTGTTCGCAATCTCAGATCTAATAATCCATCCATCCAAGGCGAGGCAGAGACGACCTATGTATCAAGGCGATGTGAGGCTGCCTGTGCGGCGAGGTTGAGGCGCGGCAATGCGAGGTGCCATCGACGAGGAGCTGCGCGTACCGGTGATGAAGGAAAATTTCGTCGGCGCAGGAGGTGAGCAAGAGATTGTAACGGAAGGTTGGAGACAGTTCATGTTGCAGGTTTGAAATTGGGAAAACTGTCAAAAATAGGTTCTCGAACTTTCATAAAAAAATCAATTAAGTCATTTTATAGGAGACTCTGTCCGGTCGTCGCGATTTGGGGTGGTTCCCGGTGGAATTTTTTGATGAAATTTTTTGAGCATCTTATTCATCAAGTCTAGTTTACTCATACCAAATTTCAGCTAAAAGTTTAATCGGGAGCGCATTCAAATTAATTCGAGAACGCAAAAATGTGCAGTTATCTTCAAGAATAAATTTGAATGTGTTCCCGATTGAGGTTTTAACTGGAATTTGGTATGATTAAACTAGACTTGATGAATAAGATGCTCAAAAAATTTCATCAAAAAATTCCACCAGAAACTACCCCAAATCGCGACGTTCGGACAGAACCTCCTATAGAAGAACTTAATTGACTTTTTTATGAAAGTTCAAGGACCTATTTAACAGTTTTCCCTTTTAGATTTGACATGTTGCAAGTTGGAGACAGTGAAGGGTGCGGCACAAAGTTGTAAAAACAATCTTATTTTTGTCTTTTGAAACTATATGAGTAACATTGGTACCATTTATTCATGAGTCAACTTTCTTTACTAAAAATATTAAAAGTGTGACCATATCGAGTCATTTTATCATCGATCTATCAATCATATTAAATCGAACAGGGAACATCTGAATAAGACGTGACCTGGGATATTTGGAGTAACTTTTTGTGTTAAATAAAATCAATATGGGAGGGAATAGGAAAAGATTTTCCGTCTAGGCCTTCGAAATTCTTAACACTGCCCTGCTCAGTTCCGCCGTCGATGAAGTCAGTGAGCTTAGCGTCTTCAACATTTCCTCCGATTATATCTACTCAAGAACACGCCCTTAGGCGGCAAGCCAATTTTTCCCAATCTTTGCGCTTTCCGTTTCACACGTTCTCGTCGCAGCACAAGCACGTGAACGCGCCGCGGTCCATGGCGGCGGAGAAGACAAAAGAAAAAGAAGCGAAGCTATGGGGTGGTCGGTTCGAAGAGAGCGTGACGGATGCTGTGGAGAAATTCACGGAGTCAATTTCGTTCGACAAAGCTCTATACAAGCAGGATATCATGGGCAGCCGAGCTCACGCGTCAATGCTTGCAGCCCAGGTTCGTACATTTGTTGTATTCATGTGAAAATCTAAAATTTTGAAGTTAAAATGCAAAGATGCGTGTAGAATTGATGTAATACTTTTTATATTTTAATTTTATATATATTATTTCTCACTTTTAACCCTATTTGCTAGTTTTTTGTTGCTGAAAAATTCACATCATTCGCTTGAAATGTTTGATCGAACAATGTTATTGTGCAAAATGATAATCATAAAATAAAAATTGTTGCTATATCCGCCAGTGCTCCAGACACATTTCTTTACATTTTACAGTAAAATATAATATTCAAATGATTACAGTTGTTTTGCTGAATTGTAGGGATTGATTAATGAAAATGACAGGGATTCAATTCTACAAGGTCTGGCTGAGATAGAGAGGCAAATTGAAGCAGGCCAGTTCATCTGGAGGACTGACAGAGAGGATGTGCACATGAACATTGAAGCCGCGCTTACTGATTTAGTTGGTGAATCTGCAAAGAAGCTTCATACTGCTAGGAGTCGAAATGATCAAGTTCTAACTGACTTTCGTTTATGGTGCCGGGATGCTATTGACAGAACCATTTTGAGTGTCAAAGGTCTTCAGGTCAAAGGCTACTCTACTATAGTGTTGTCTCACACACATATATATATTTTTCTTTTATTATTAGGAGTTTTCCTATATTATTACTAAAATAGATCTCAAGAACAAAAATATAATAACATCATCACTTTAGTCACTGCGAAAATAGCTTCAAGGTCACTGCATTGTAGACTTGAACATCAGTATGGTTACAAAGTGCTAAAGTTATATTTTTATTCAGACATGTAATTTTTTATTATCGTTTTTTTATTTTGTTTTACTCTATTGATATACTATTCAGATTCCCCCCTACATATTGTATAGGAGTGCTTTTCATATGATTTCTTGCAAGTGAAGAGTGATTTTATTTCATCCTAGGCTAGCATGAGACTTAACCAACTAACCGCTCATGACTTTGAGTATGCAATTATAGGTTGCTCTGATTAAACTCGCCATAATAAACAAGGGTTTGATTGTTCCTGGATATACCCATTTGCAAAGAGCACAACCAGTTCTGCTGCAACATCTTCTCTTATCATATGTTGAGCAGGTTTGTGACATTGTAATGAGATCTATTAATATCTGATGGACATAGTAATTTAAATGTGAAAAGCTTCTGTTGAGGTTTATATGATGCACATGTTTGTTGAGTGATGCAATTTTCATGCATGTTTATGCACAACACGTTTTCCATATCTATAATTTAGGAAATGCCTCTGTAAAGGATTATATCTGGTCTTTTGTGCATGCTTATAGTAGTTATTCTTTTCTGCAAGTATTACTTGTCCCACAGTCTGTTTTTTGGGGATTTATGGATATTGGAAAATGCTAGGCAAAGGAAAAAAGTTCTAAGACGAGTTTTTTTGTGTGTTTTGTTTTACAATGAAAAATGCAAAGTGAAATGAAAATTGTTAATGCTTTCCAATTTTTATGTATATTTAGCTTATTCAGTCTATATACAACACAAATGGATAAATATAATAGTTTGCCTAAATATCTAAAATATACTCATTTTGAACATATATTTATTTTTTTCCTCATATTCCTTCTCATTCCAAATTTCCCTTTATTTTTCCCTAGCATTTCCCTGCTTCAAAACAGACCCTTAATGAGTTGTAAAAAGGTTCCTCTGTTGATTTAAATGCACCTTGGGTCTGATCAACCTTAATATCTAAGATTGTACATTTAGAAGTCTGAATCTTGATCACTTTCTTCCGCTTAAAATGTATTATCATCACGTCAACTTTCTCAAATGGTCTCAGATCTATATTTGCATCAACCATGTTGACTGACGATGATGATTTCTTGTAGCTTGAACGTGATGCTGGCCGTTTAGCAGATTGTAGAGGAAGGCTGAACTATTGTCCTCTAGGAGCGTGTGCCTTAGCTGGTACTGGTCTTCCCATAGACCGCTTCATGACCTCTGATGCATTAGGGTTCACTGCGCCCATGAGGAACAGGTATGCACCTGTTTATCTTTCTTAGGAACAATTTAATTATCTCTGTGTAGTCTTTTTTGCCTTTTCTGCAATAAAGAAAGCTAGTGATCCTTACGGCATTATTAATTTGGTCATTGTTTTTATTTATTGATAACTAGGTACCATTATAATGTTGTGATTAGTATAGATTGTAGGAATATTTTGTAGGGAAAACGTGCTTCTTAAAGATAGAAATAGAAAAGGAAATCAGATTTGGTTATATGCAATCTGTATTGTCTCTTTGCTCACTCTTTTAAATCTTCCCAATTGTCTGTTTGGATGAAGGGTTTTGGAGGGGAATGTTTCGGGGAGGCTCATTAGTCTATATCTTATATAGAATGTTTTTGAAAACGAATAAATGGTGATTGATCGCATATTGTGGTGTACAACCTTTCAACTTTTGTAAAACCTCAAATGTATATTTAGACGTGGTTAGATTAAGGCATTAAGCCCTCCAACCAACCAACCCCCAACCCCCCCCTCCAAAACCCTAATCCATGCAGACCTTAATAAAGTTCGCTGAACTCCAAGTATTTGATGCAGACCTCTCCAATACCCATTCTAAGTATCTTTTGTTGGTACTTGTACCATTTTGTGCATTAGTATTGATGCGGTATCAGATCGTGATTTCGTAATTGAGCTTTTGTCTGCAAATTCCATTACTGCCATCCATCTCTCTCGTCTTGGTGAAGAATGGGTATTATGGGCTTCAGAGGAATTTGGCTTTATCACACCAAGTGACTCAGTTTCTACCGGAAGCAGTATAATGCCTCAAAAGAAGAACCCAGATCCTATGGAACTTGTTCGTGGCAAGTCTGCCAGAGTTGTAGGTGACCTTGTCACACTTCTTGTTCTATGCAAGGGGCTCCCACAGTCCTATAACCGCGATTTACAGGTAATATAAGTTTTGTTTTTTCTAAACAGGAAGTTAACCTTATACTGTGATATATGTTTTTTCTTTTGTAGTCCTTATTCCCCACAAGAAGAAGAAACAAACTGAAACAACCATATGTTTTAATAAGAAATTAAACGCTTTCTGTTTTACATTAGGAGGACAAGGAACCTGTGTTTGATAGTGTGAAGACCGTACTCGGAATGCTTGAAGTGTCAGCAGAGTTTGCACAGAACATTACTTTCAATCGTGAACGAATACAAAAGGCTTTACCAGCTGGTCATCTTGATGCCACTACTCTAGCAGATTATCTCGTGAAAAAGGCAAGTGGTACTTGAACATACTCCATTTATTTAGTCCTTTCACCAGTTTGGGTGTTGGCCCTCGCAAAATTGTATGAAAGACTTTATATTGGATGTGCCAGTTCCTCAGAAGTTACTCCTTTTGCTGAAATGGCTGAAATTGATAAACACCAATAACATTACCCCAGTGCCTCGAAGGCTCCCACCTATGGTGGGGTAAGGGGGTTGGATGTACAGAGTCTTACTCCTCTACTAAAGCACAGAGAGACCGTTTACGGATGACCCATGAAATGGCTGAAATTGATACTTCCACATTTTTTTAGAAATAATTTTCTTTACTTTATTTCCGTATATTCTTAACAGTTCTTTAGATAATTATGCATATTCACCCTTTCAGCCACAAGGTTGCTACTGTCACCTTTTTTCTTGCATCATTTTCCTGGTTCCAAACATAGCCTTAATGATATGATTAACATGCATAATTCCCAATTTCTACAGGGGATTCCTTTCAGGACATCACATGACATAGTCGGGAGGGCTGTTGCCTTGTGCGTTTCTAGAAACTCACAGCTTCAAGATCTTAGCCTTGATGAGCTGAACAGCATTAGCCCAGTGTTTGACAAGGACGTATATGAGTTTCTTGGAGCTGAGAATGCGATAAAGAAGTTCAGCTCTTACGGCTCGACCGGTTCCGAATGTGTCTCTAGTCAACTTGATTACTGGATGGCCAAACTTGAACTTCAATAAGCGGCTGATGTGTAAAGAATGCTCAGTGAGGATTACACCTCAGAGTGAAAGAACTACGTTCTATCTCTAAACCTTGCTAGCATCCCAGGATGGATTACTTTTATAACCTTTTCTTTTGTGTATTCTGAAAAATTACACCACCAATAATGTCATGTGCAGGCTGTAATTTAAGTTTGTAACTCGATGTGATTTGCTGAGAATGTCTTCTTGCTATTTGTTGAGTCTCGAACCCGACTGTTAAAGAACATATTATTGCTGCAAGGTAAAAATCCACTTTGGTCCAATAAGTATGAGCTTATTCCATATTGCCTTTTACTTTTTCCACGAAGTATACAACTTTCCATTTGTTAACATCTCATGTCCTTCCAGAGTTCCAGGTCCAGCAGTCATTCCCAGTCACATAAGGCAAGTTTTGTAAAGAAGCCATTGTTTGATCTTTAATAAAGTTTGGTTTATGTAGAATCTTTATTTTTGGTCATCCGATTACTTTCACATAAAGTGATTCAGTTTTCACTAGAAATGACATTCTTTGGGAAGGTTAAATAAAAAAAGTTTCCAATATTTTGTGTGAAGGGAGTATTATAATTAGTCTATAATTTAATACGTAGTACTGTAGTAGTTTAATTTAGCTTAATATTGATGGAGGCAACCTCTCAACATCCCTTGTAAATTGAGGGACGAAAAGATTTTAATGCAGAAAAATGAGAATCTCCCCTCCTATCCTATGTATAAAAAAATGAGAGATGTCACAGAGCCTTTTTTAAGAAATTTTTATTGCCTAGATAATGGTTAAAACAAAGTCATCATAATATCATATTTAGTAAATCATGCCTTCACTTGCCTTAAACTAAAAAATAGTAAATCATGCCTTCAAACAAAAGCAAACGTATAAAAGATTAGGGTTGTTTTTACTTGAACTGTAATTCGTCCCAGACCAGACCAAAACAGATTGGTTTTTACATGCATACCCCTAAAATCAGCAAAAGGTTGTATAAACTGGTCTTTTTTTATTGACTTTGCCCGTTGAACCCCTTTCTTCGCACCAAAAAACAGCAAAAAACTAGTGACAAAATATACAAAATTAGTAATAAATTGATTGTATCACAATATATTAAATATATTTCAAACATAAAGAGCTCAGGAACATATTTTATAAACAATACTTTAAAAAATACTCCATATATAACACAACATTACAAAAGAACACCACTAAAGATAATTCAGAACTAAAAAACAATAATTCGAAATTGGCTTTAAAAACACTAACAAAAATGTTTTCAAAACATCACGAAACCGGGCCCCTGTAAGATTGACAATCAAGTACAACGCTAAATCATAAAAAGCATGTAACTCAATTTTGTACGCATGTCAAGTTGGTGGGTATTGACACCAGGGGTGGAGGCGTAGAGCTCCTATTGATAATGTGTGCATGTGAAAACTCAAAACTTTAAAAAGAAGTATAAAGAAACTCGTGTAGAGGGTTTTCCACCAACATTACTAAAAAAGATCTTTTCTTGTGTTTCCAAAAATGTGATTATATACATGCAAGTTCAAAAATTGAAAATCGCATGTCATACAGAATAGAGAATACCCCCTCCCCTCCTTGAGTCCTTTCAATCCCCAATGACACCATCCTGATATTTGCCCCCGCTAGATATTCTTACTAACAGCTTTTACTCAAGAAAGAACTAACGTCTTTTACTTGCAGTACCAGCATTCTGATGTTGTTTTGATTTAAATGTTAATTTTCGTTTTCTAATAAGTTCTTCTGGTGTTCAAGAGAATTTATGTTATCAAAATGCTCATCTATTTTTTAACCCTACCTTCTGATACATTTTTGAAAAGTACATACTTATAGCTGATTAGTAAGTGGGAAGTTAATCAATCAAGCAACCAAGCATGCATATAACTCTACCGTAGGCCATCAAAGATTTATTAACATAACTTCAGTAAAGCACATACAGACAGACTGCAAGAAGTTCCATTATCCAAAACTGAACTCCTGTTTGATTTAATTAGCTACAAATAGGTTCCCAAATATGAGAGGATAATAAAACAAATCTAGCTACTTGTATATACTAGAACTATGGTCTATAACAACTCATTGTGCATAAGTATGGTTATGTTGAGACTTATAGATCGGTGTAGTGTGAGGTTTCAATTTCAAAGCTCAAATTCCTCACTACGAAGAGCCATCTCCGCAGCCTCTTCATCCTCGTCGTCAATAACAAAGTATTCATTCTTCTCGACAGGCCTAAACATGTAAAACATGATGATGTAGAATGCCAAGCTGGCAACCTCCTTTGCAGCATTTGCAACCCACTGGTACTTATAAGCAGCAATTGTCTGCAAGGCAAAGACTACAAACCTTGTGAAGTAAAGGTACCCAATCACAACAGTGTAGAATTGCCTGAAAAGGGTCAGTTTTGCCAAGTTCCTAGCTGCTTTACCGTCAGTCTTTGAGGTCTCTCTCAATGACCTAATCGACCAAACTATGGGGAAGATGATTGCACAGCAACAAACTATGTCGACAATCAAAAACACTTGATTCCAAGTAACCCAATCTCTGATAAAGGGGCCGGTTTCTCCAATCACAACAGATGCTATGTTAGCCAGAACCTGGAGAGGAATCACAATCATCAACACCTTCTTTTCCCTCTCCTGCAAAAATGGCTTCAAAAACGACCACCCTGTACCTATCAAGATGATAACAGTGAAGAGCAAAACCACACGAATGAACTGGAAAATGTAGAATAATACATCCCAGCCATGGGCGGTTCCCGTGACCTTGACGTAATGTTTATCCTCAGCCGCGAAGAGTAAATTTAGGGCTTTTGTGATAAGCAGAACCGCCATTAACAGATGAATTCTATGCACCGATCCCCTGTTCCCGCAGCAGATGTAGACCCAAAAGGCCGTGAATCCGAAATAAATTAGCGAGAAGATGAAGTATAGGGCTGGGATTTGGGTTAGACCAGCGGAGAGGTAGTCCTTGACCTGCCCTAGACTGTCGAGGTTGTAGAGCTCGGTGCGGACGTCCATGGAGACCTTCGATTGGGGTGCGCAATTGGCGAAGAAAAGTGAGTATTCATCGGGAAAAGTAATCGGATATGAGCGATTGAAGGAGGAGGCGGGCGGCGGAGAGAGGTCGCGGAAGGTGAAGAGGAGATTTATGTAATTGGAGTCCAAAACGCAAAACGCATCGTTCTGCTGGAGCTCGATGAGGACTTGGATGAGCGATTCTTCGGAGAGGAGGAAGAATCCGAGCTGAGACGGTTCCGGTGTGGAGATGGCGGATGAGACGGAAACCGATGAAACGCTGATGGTGGCGCGGCCCGTGCGGGTGAAACCGAACCGTTCGAACAAAATCATGGGTCGAGAATCGGAAATGATCTTCAGCGTCTTGATCTCAGCGGTGGCGAGAGAGATAATCGAGAGGAGGAAGAGGAATACGAGTGGAGATGATTTCGTCATGATGGATTCCGAGGAGATGGGCGGTGAACGGTGGCCGGGACCGCAGGGTGCGGGAGAAGAATGAAGAAGGCTTTGGGAAAATGAAAGGAAACAGTCCTTCGGAGTAACGTGTGATGAGGTGAAAAGTTATGAATTAACTAATGTCTCATTCTGCATTCCTGTCCGTAACTGATTTAGGAGGTGTTTGACATTTAGGTTTTTTTTTTTAACTAAAATTTGTTGATAACTAATCTTATTTCATCTACTAAACGTATGGTTTCTGTGTATTTTATAATTACGGAAGTCTGTTCTCATCAGGGACTGAAAACAGTCCAAAAGAAAACATCCTTAGTAGCGGTCTAGCGATGGTCGGATATTGAATTTTGTTAATGGTCAATAGCGGATTCAGTCAGCGTGTTTGAATATTTTTGGGAAAAAATACTCAAAATTTTTATCTTAAAAGTTAACGTATTATTTAAATTTGGGTAAGTCATGACCTAGGTTGGCCACCTAGCTCCGCCCCTACACAAGGTTCTTGATATTCACTCTTAATTGACGAAGTTTTATGTTTTTAATAATATCAAATAGTCCTTTTGCTTTAATAAATTTGATACAATAAAGTGTACACAATATTTAAGAGAAAAGTAGTATGGTAATGAGTAGTGTAGAAAACTAGAAAGATTGTGGAAAAGAATAAAAAAGGATATAAGAAAAGATATAAAAAGTAGAAGGATATAAAAATAGTAAGGTTAGTTAATTATTTTGAAATGGAAAACTTATACGAAAAGGAATTGTAGCAAAAATTAAATTAAAGTACACTAAAAAGGAAAGTGTAATGAACATTTCAATACATATCTTAGCAATAAAACATAAGTAATCTTGCGCCTTTAGTCCTATTTAAAACAATTTCTTTTGTTTTATAAGTATTTAGTTAAACTTGAGCTATGAAATGCTATTTGATTGACCAAAAAATATGTTAGAGACTGTAAATTAAGTTATCTTACATTAGAATCACCCTTCAATTTGTAAAAATGCCAAGTTAAGTGGTTTAGGCGGTCTTCTACGAGTTATTCTAATAACCGTTTGTCTAATTGTCTAAGTGTAGACTTTTTTTTTAGCGCAGATACGCATAACTTCCTACCTTTTAGTTTTTGTACTATTTAAAAGTTTTTAAGAGCTTTTGTTGTATGTTTGATATGACAAATTTTAACAATTTTTTTAAAAATAAAAGATCTTTTTTAAGCAAATATATTGAGTAACATTTGAGAAAAGTTTGTAACTTTGAGTATTAATTAGTCAAAACCGTTTGTATAGCAAAAAAACTATATCTAATAGTCATGGCGTGTTTACTAACATGAATATTTTCTGTTTTTCAAGAAAACTAAAAAACTAGAAAACGAAAAACGGAAAAACATGTTTACCTATTTATTCTCAAAAATTGAACAATAGAGACATATTTATGATTTTCTTCTTAAGTTGGAAAACTCACTTTTTGGTGTTTTCCGAAATGAAAATATGCAGTGCCACACTGCGTCATGTATTTGTTTCGCGTTCAGGTATCTGATTGTGGTGACTTTTTTAAAACTAAATATTTTTTCTAGATTTATGTAACGGTGTATTTTGAATAATATATTTTATTTATTGGGAGAACTAACAAATAAGCCCTCTAACTTGCATAAAAAGTGAAATCACCCCTTTTATAAGAGGCTCTGACCGGTCGTCGCCATTTGGGAAGGTTCCCGGTGAAAGTTTTTGATGAAATTTTTTGAGCATATTATTCATTAAGTCTAGTTTACTCATACCAAATTTCAGCTAAAATATAAATCGGAAAGGCAGTCAAATGAATTTTTGAAGATAACTGCACAGTTAGACTGCGCAGTATATTTCAGAAAATCATTTGACTGCCTTTTAGGTTGAAATTTTAGCTGAAATTTGGTATGGGTAAACTAGACTTGATGAAGAAGATGCTAAAAAAATCTCATCAAAAAATTTCAACAGAAACCACCCCAAATTTCGATGTCCGTACAGAGCCCCTGTAAAAGGGCTGATTTGCGGTTTTTATGTAAGTTCGAGGGCTTATTTGATAGTTCCCTCTTTATTTATTAAATTAGAAAAATCAATTTTGACTTTTTTAGTGTTTTATAATTTACTTTTATTTATCATAATTTTTCCTAATATGAAAAACATGTGGCTTTATAAAAGTACTAGTAGTGTTAATTATGTACTCAAACATGTTATGAAAAAACATGTAGCTTTAAAAATAAGTTTTTAAAGCTAACTTTAGTCCATAATTTCCATGTCAAAGTATTACTCTGTAGTCCGTACTAGTGTTGTGTATTTATTTTCAAGACAATGTAGTTGGCCTCTTATTAAAGAAGTGTCATTTATTAAGTCTGGTTAGTGGATTATCATTTATGTAAACTCTGTTTAATTTCGAATGTTTTTAATTAGAGCATCTCCATTCATGATCTCTAATAATCAATTTTTTATATGATTCTTACCGTTTAAATATTGTTATGTATTTAATTATAAAATAATCTCAAGATTCGTTTATGTCTCTCAATCATCATCTTCAAATAATCTGTTTTTTCTTTGTCTCGCATTTATCTCTATTACATATACTTTTCAAATAATCTTAAAATAATCCGGATTCATATTTTGATCCCAGATTATTGTAGCAAATAATCTTATTAAATAATCTATATCACTCATTGATAATTCTCTAAAAAAACTGCAATGTCACCAATTTAATCTTGTAATAATCCTCCCAATGAGGATGCCCTTACGAGTACTTTATTTTGCATCATACACACATTAATTTTTCAACGGTGCCAGGTAACAATTGTCATTTTTACGCCTTCGGTTCTATTAAGTTTCAATTCCTCACTTTTGTACTTACTTTATGATTTGAAAAGTGAAATGGAAAAACAAATGAAGTTTGGGAAAAAATGTGTTTAGATTGGGAAAACTGAAAAGTGAAAACAAAAAGTGAAAACAAAAAACAGAAACAGAAAAATGGAGAAATAAGTAAACGGGCAACAAAATTTTTATAAAACAACTATCACTTATTTTCCTTTAAAATCTTTTTAGCTACTAAAAGTTAACAGTTACTAAAAAAACTTATAAAAATACATTTTTATCTAATTGTGTCAAACATACCCTTAATTTCATATATTCTACTCCCTCCACCCATTAAAACTTTGTCATCCTTGATATTTTTCATATTTTATAAAAATCATAACAATCAGGTCAAATCAGAGTCGGTTTCCGGATTTTGGATTGTTTTTCCCACCTTTGCGCCTTCCCATGAGTGTGACTCACTTAGATCTCTATTCTATATACATAGACACTTATTGTTGGCATATGTTCAAACAGAGTCTGGCTTCAAATGATTTATTTTCCTAAAAGTAACAAATTTTAACCAAACAAGGACAAACATTCCTTTTGTGGTAGTTTTTTTGTGGTAGTATTTGTTCAACAGTGAGCATCGAATCCTTGAAGTTTTAAGCGCAATCCCCATACCTTATCAATGAAAGTGTCAATCAAAGTTTGATTACAACTCAGTTTATCATTCTCATTTACGCTATCGAGCAACTTCAGTGGCAGCTTCAGGGGTGCATCTATTTCATTTGTAACATTCATCAATTGAGCTTGTACTGGTATTCTGATGTGGTGAAGTGTATAAATTTCAGTAATGTCAACCATGGGAGTCCATGGTCTGTCTAAAGCAGTGTTATGAATTATGGCTGTTACTAACAAAGCCTTATCTCCTCCACGGTATGCCTATAGCTAAAGCCGCAAGTACAATTCAACCCAAGAAGAAAGAAAACTCTCCTATGGCCCTAACTTCATGTTATATACAAAATTTATCCTTTTAATATCAGCAGTTAGAGAAATGGTCACTCCATCCCACACTGATATACCTCCTTAGACAAATTCAAATGGCATAAAGTTTCTTGAACTCATCATCAGGAGCATCTTCATCAGACATGATCGACACGGACCATGAGTGGGACATGCTACTTCTTGCTGACCTGCTCAGATTCCTCAGGTTAGAAGCCTCAATCCGATGCACAATCACCCAATAACATAATATCCCCAAGGTTGGAAGCATTATAACCCCTCCCATCACTGTCACCCCAATGGCCAACCACTTCTCGTCTTTCCCGACGACAATATAGCACAAAGCCAGAAAAGCCACGGACACAAACGCACAAGCCAACCACAACAGCTTGTTAATAACACTCATCATTTGTTTCTTCTTATTTCTCTCCACAACCACTACTGATATCTGGACCACCACCACAGCCAGTGAAATGAAGAGTGCCAGAGAATCGAATATGAAGAAAATGACGAAGGGCGGCTGTGGGGCGATTCTTGCCTCTCCTGGGGTGAGTGAAGCCGGGTCCCTCTTTGGATCATCCGCAAACTGACCTGGGAGATTGTATATGGCTGCAAACGCGACGGTTGCTATGAGGACTGCGGCCACGGTGGTGGAATTTATTGCGTTGTTGAGACCTTCCGAGTGCATTTTGTTGAGGCGTTTGGCTATCTTCTGCACACGCTTTTGGGTTTGGTGTGTGTGGACAAGCTGGTCGTGGACGTCGTGTTTTATGTCGCTGACGGTTTGTTTTAGTTCCTTGGCTGACCGTTTTGGTTGTGCTCCTATGTTCAAGTCCTTTGCTCTCTGGAATCCGTTCTCTTTTAATAAAGTTGCTATGTCAGAGTTTGTGTTCTTCTCGGCTGTGTCAAGTGCAGTCTCGCCTGATTTGTTAACGGCTTCCACGGTTACTTCCCCGTTGACTCCTTTGTGTTTTAGCAGCACTTTGACAATCTGAATTGCCACATCATGTGTCATAAAACTTCAATTCAAAGAACTCATAATAAACTTTTGTAACTAAAACTATTATGACTTTGGGTTTTATCCTAAATACTCTCTTGGTTCCATAATTATCTCCTGTTTTGACATAGGGAGTAGAATAGTAGTATAAGGTCTTAGTTTTTTGTGTTCATTTGTTTATTAGTCCTTCAATTGTTCAGCACCATCATTTTAGCACTTCCAAATTCGTAATAGCACCACTTTACCAACTACACCCGTGAAGTCGTTAATAAACTCAAATGGTTATGAGTTTACAACTGTAAATACGAAAACAAAGTATGTACTGTGTCAATCTATTTTTTGCTCCATCAAAGCTTCTTGTCATGGAAGATCATATTAGGTATTAATAGTTAATATACATACCTCCAAACGCCCTTTCCGAGCTGCAATATGCATTGCAGTGTTTCCCTTTCCATCAACCATTGTAGTCAAAGACGGCTCGGACATAATAAGCTCATTAACCACTTCAACACTCAGCCCTTTGACAGCCATATGAAGAGCGGTCTGTCCCTTTTTGTCACAACACTTTGCAAAGCTGAGGTCTTTTTTCAAAAGGGCCTTCACCACTTCAACGTGCCCGTTTCTTGCTGAAGCATGCAGTGCTGTTTTCCCATTGTTTCTGGTAATGGTGGCTAAGCTGGCGTTCGTCTCCAACAGAAAATTGACAACCTCGACATGGCCTTGTGCGGCAGCCGTGTGTAAAGCTGTGGTGTTTGATTGATCAAATGTCACAGACAGTTGAGGAAATGCATCCAGAAGGATCCTCACAATTTCTGCATTTGATTACATTTAATACATCCCATTTCAAATCTGATGCAAATTTAAGACCAATAATATACCATAAATAGAACTAAAATATAGCACACTTCATCAACTTAGTTTTTTTTATGAAAGAACTTCATCAACTTAGTTGATAATTGCTTTGTTTAATAGTTCACTCCCAGAAGAGTAATTATTATCCACTTTATTTTTTACTGTAAACAAGAATCCTTTTTAAGGGCACACACCTCCTAACTCCTAAGGCCAGACAGCTTGGTCATGATTGTGCTTTTATTCCAACTTCCTTCTAGGTAGCACAACTTTTTCAGAACACTCACTGTCAGATACCACCTTGTTTGTGCAATGATATTGGCAAGGACCACATCATAGATATGGGTTGGGGCGACTAAGTCTCTCAGGTAACATATTAACATGTTCAATAATAGAGTCTAGAGATGCTGGATGTTTGGCATAACATAGCTGTAAACGGATGGTTCATTCGACAGCTAGTTTTTATAATCCTTAAAAGGAAAAGTAGTCTATTAACACTCAGCTGCCACTACAAAAATTACTGCCCCACCGCCACCGTCGCTGCTCTGATCACCGCTGCTCTGATCACCGATCGCCGACACTTAGCGCTAAATCCTAAACTCTAAATCCTTCGTCCTAGAAAGGCAACTAAACCGGGCTTGCTATATCTTAGAAGTTCTAAAATGTAAACAAAATTGTCTAAATAGATCTCTTGGCAAATAAATTAGAAAGATCTATAATTAATTATAGACAATAAAGTCGGTACACCTACCAGATAAAGATAGACTCTAGGCTGTATTAATTGTCATATGACTCATATCCTCCCAACAATTTATCAAACTACCAAATTAAAGCATAACCTCACAATTCAATCTGGTACTCTAAATCACAGCAACAATTCAAATCACTCAAAAGAAAAAAATTAAAAAAATGAATTTCAAATGGTATGAAAAATATGATGCTCACCAATATCTCCCCTCTTGGCAGCAACATGAAAGGCATCAAATCCATTTCTGGCTTTGAGGCCTGCAGATCGAAGAACATAGTGCTTTATCATCTCCTTCACCAATTCCACATACCCATACTCAGCAGCCACATAAAGCGCTGTTTCTCCAGACTGATTCTGCTTCGACAGAAACTCGTCTAGTTCTCCTTCTCCACAACTGCCGATCATCGCAACCACCTCTCCGACATTTCCGGCTCTCGCGGCGGAATGGAGCTCCGTGTCCCCTTTTTTCCCGGTCAGCTGTCTCACCATCTTCTTCTTGCTAACGCTCACTTTTCTTACTGAATCCTCCATTGCTGACCCTCTTCCTCTCTTCCTCCAAAAGGGTGGATGATAGAATTGAATCTGCAACAACTTACTTACCTCTGTTTTATTGTTGGAGAGTGTCCCATCAGCTGAATATGAATTTATTTGGTAATCGTTGGGAGATTTTTTTGTGAAAGTGAAGTTAGTCTCAATCTGTCGTTGGGATTCAGTTTTTTCAGATGAATCTCTGCAGAAATAAATGGCAGTGAAGACGATGGTGAAACTACTGCCAATCCATGTCACATCGGGTTTCTCCAAGTGAGGCTGTAATAAGAATGCATCGCCTTTCTCTAATGGGGGCGGGCCCACTCGTTGCCCAAACCGTGGGTCCACACGGTTCATTCTCAGAATCTCAGCTAGAAAGACGAATAATTTGCGACAAATTCCCACCAAAAAAGATCCGCAAAAATAATTTTACTTTATTATGTATTCTGCTTTATTTCCATGTATGTTTGCCACTTGTAAGTTGGGAGGCTAAGTGGGTAACTATCAGAAAAGTAAAAAATAGTACCACCTCCGTTCCCATTTTAACTTCCAAATGTGTTTGGCACAAAGTTTAAGATAGTGGATATTGTGTGGTGGAGAGTTGTGCAGAGGAGAGAGAAATGTGTAAGAAATGTTGTGAACCACAAATTCTTTACCAAAAAGGGAAAGTGGAAGTTTTAATTGGAACAGACGAAAAAAGAAAGTTGGAAGTTTATTTAGGAACGGATGGAGTAGAAAATTTCCGAAATAGGAGTAACAAAGTTTAAAAATTTCAAAATAAGAATGTTATGTTTTTATTCCCAAAATAGGAGTAATTACTGCCAAGTTTGAAAAATACTGTCATGTTTAAAATCTGGAACTGCCAAAACATGGCAGTAATTAATCCTATTTTAGAAATAAAAACATGATAGTCCTATTTTGGAATATAGAAATATTTTTACTCCTATTTTGGGTAATTTCTCTTGTTAATACTCATATAGGTCGAATGAACATACGAAGTAATATATTTAAATTGGTGAAATTTAGGTTAAAGTGTTTGAATTGGTTTAATATGATGAATTATGACAAATAATTATATTTGAGATATATTTTATTAATAAAATAATAAAATATTATACTCCGTATGAAAATTAATTAAAATAATTATATTCATCAAATTCAATAAATTTGGTCAATTCATTCAGAAAACAACATCATTTGTTTTGGTGTCGCACAACATATTTAGCGTGTGAAATAAAATTTAATAATTTGATTTATACAAGGGCGTTGTCAGGATCAAATGTTAGAATAAACCAATATAAGATATTTTAGATAATTTTTTACATAGAAAATACAATCATTTTTCAAATTTGAGGTGAGCCGAACTCGTTCGTGCCCCCTACCTCCACCATTGTTTGTACATTTATTGGTGACATTCATTTATTAAATATTGTAAAGTTAGATAACTTTTAACATTGATGACAACTATGGTGACATTCATTTATTAGATGTTGAAAATTCATACTCCTTACTTTTTATGCCCTAAAATGACTTGAAAGATTACTTTTCTTAATCACCAAATTTATTTTTATTCATTCATTTTGGATATTAAATTTTTGCCATATATCATTTTTTCCTATGTTGATTAATTATAGTGTTTGAAAATGTACTTTTTAATTGTTGTAATGATTGATTATTAGGAGTGATGGTTTAACTTTAAAATCTCAAATTAAAAATCTATTTGGAAAGGGGGAAATATAATTTTTCAATTTCAAATAAATATGTAGTGTCACTTGTGATTTGTGAATATACAAAGTACAAATTTTAGCTATAAACATGTTGCGAAACATATGCTTATAAACATGTTGCAACAAAATATGTAGTAAAGAATAAATATGAATAACATAATATGTGTGGAGTAGTACTTACAAAGACATAGGACAAAAACATAAAAATAAAATAAAAAGTTATAGAAAGTTTGGTACTTAGGTCAAAGTTTTGCTTTTGCAACCGACGACGACTTAGACGTGCGGGGAGGTAGCCTTGGACATACTCTTGATCTCTTATTACTCTATAAGTCTATAATAATCTAGATTCCAAACATCACTGAGACATTCAATCTAACACAAGGATATGACATATGAGCTATATTTGGCGATCCAAATACATGTATTAAGGGTATCAGTCAAACAAACTCAATTAACAACTTACTCGAAATCGTATCGATTCTTATTTAGCTCGAATCCATTCAAACTCGATTCGTATTCGAAGTTGACTCAAAAAGAAACAAAACAAGTCAAATTCAAGATATATACAAATTCGACTCGAAAAGCTCACAAGCTACTCGATTATATTGTGAAATATTATTGATTTTCTTCACATTAAATCATATATCCGTATTATAGATTCATGCATAAAAATTACTTATATTCTACTAAAAATATACTTCACACGATAGTATTAGAGGTTAACATATTGCTTAAAGTCTTAGTCAATGTTCTAAAAGTTTATGCGAACTTTAGACATTTTCGGACGACATTTAAATAGATTTGAATATGATTAACTGAACTTAGTTAGTATTAGATTTAAACAAATCATAAACAGAAAATAGACGGAGAATTTGAAAGAATATTCTTATGTTTAAAAAACATTAAAGATTGCACATATGTGTTTAAACGTATAACAAATCAAACTCTTTATTTAAATATATTTTCAAAATAACTACTCCCTCCGTCCCCCTGTTATTGTCCCATTGCGGTTTACGATGCTTGACCGACGTTAAAGCAAACAGATCCCTGTCCGCACTCAAATTATTTTTAGAAAAAGAAAATTACATATTCAGAAACTACATTAAAAGATTTACAAAATTGCAAAAACCAGAATCAAATTTGATAAAAATGTGATACATAAAGTAAGAGATTAAGAGTGATTTGTGTTGACCAAGTAAATAGGAAATGGGACAATAACAGGGGGACGGAGGGAGTAATATTTGAACTCAGCATGAACCAAGCTATATATGTTTTGACTCGATCTTCTGAAACTCAATTCAAACTTGAATTCGATCTATCTATATTAAACACAATTTAATTTGAGCCAAAAGCAAGCTCAAGTCGCTCTATTAACACCCTAAGATGAACATTGGTAGCTCATAAATATGCTGGTATGAGTTTGATAATCATAAATATCAATATATATAGGGAGGGGTTATAATAAGAACAACCCTTAACGTGAGAACGTGAGAACAAATCGTGTCCTCTTATCTCATAAAACGGATGGTGATTAATGTCGATGGTCCATACTTATATGGTGCACTATGACACAAATTAACGGACCTCAAAAGCTTTTTTGTGCAAACGTGCACTCATTTAAGGGTACAAATGTCAAATTACATTGTAAATACGGCGTGTCTTCATGGGCTACCGCTTTGTTCTCTCCACTTCCCGAAGAATTCGCCATAATAACGCAAGCTTCCAATCATCACAAACCTGGCAAAAATAAAGAGGCTTCTATATGGTAACTACCCAAATTGATAACCGAGCATATGAATTTAACTTTCCGTCGTCGCCATAAGTGCACAAATTGATCAAAGTTGCAGAGAGAAGAAATACTGGTGAACGGCGACAATGAGTTCTGTGGAAGAAGAGTTCGAGATGATGATTTCGGGTTCTAATAATCAAGAAGGTATGTCCTCTCCTTAGTAGATGAAGTTAATGTGAAGTTAGTTCAACACTAAGTGGGTATATTGGTTAACGATTGGACGGATTTTGCATTGCATGTGTGTATTTTTGGTTGATTTTGAAATAGAGCAATGTTAACATATAGGTGCATTTGGTTTGTCAAAGCTATCGTTTGCTATGAACTAAGAAGTACTTTTTTGTGCTTTTCAATTGGTAAATAGAGGGAATTGGAGTCATATAGTTTTTTTTTTATTTTTAATTTCTGAGATTATGGTGTTAGTTTGTTTGTTGTTTCATAGTATTTTAATGTCATTACCAGGTTTGTGCAAGTAACAGGCTATTGTTGTGAATATTGTGAGATTATTAAGTATAGTGCAGAAGAATGACGAGGGTGTGGTAGAAGAGATGGTTGTTGTGATGTATGTGTGGCATATTTTTGGTAGTCCAGTAAATGCATGATGTACTGCGTAGTGTGTACAATGTTTGTTGTGTTTGTAATACAATGTTGATTATAACAAATTCAAAAAAGAATGTTTTTTGTGCATAGGAGTTTAAAACAAGTGTGAATAAGGTTTTTGTGTAGTGGTAATGTGAAAGTTCTGAGTAGTGTGCTGGTAGAGTTGGATATGGTGCACTTGAAAGTATGTATGTGTGAGGTGCCAATTGTTAGTTATGTGCACATATTGAAATTTCAACCTGTAGTGCACTATAATGATATAGTTGTGGTAGTAGATATGAATAATATAATTATGTTGTTAGAGATTGACTTTGTGCATATATTGAATTAAATTCGAAGTAGTAGTGAACTTTGAATGATATAGTATTGCAAATCAATGTGAATAAAATGTTTGTTATGTGACATAGGTGTTGTACATTATTTTTCATAGTAGTGTGTAATACTTCATTGTGTTTATATTAGTTGATTTAGTGAACAATATAATGCAGAGATAAACAGAGGGAAGCATAAAGAGAGCAACGTTATTGTTCCAGTTTGTCCTAAAATGCAAAAATTTCAAAAGAAGTTGCACAAAGAAGTGCCCAGGTGCAAATGCAAGGTAATTTTGTGCTATGAAATAGTTGAAGTGGGAACAGAGGTTGGCATGATTTTTTTTTATCTGAACTTAGATGGTTGTTTTGAGATTATGTACCTTAGCCGCTCTAACATTGTAAGTGGTGGTTACAGTGTAATTCATATGTGATACATGATTTGTATGATTACAAATATACAGGTAAAGTGGTGGTTAAAAAGGTTGAGTTGAACAAGCGTGCAAAACATGTGTACCTTACCTGCTCTAACATTGGAAGTGAATCGGGCAGCCCACGTCGTAGTGGGAGGATTCAACATGCTTTAGTTGCTCAAGATCATGAAAAGAAAAAAAGGGGGCCACCGACCAAAGTGTTGATAATGAAAGTGACAACATCGATGATGATTTTGAGGTGCCGCCATTACATGGGAAAGAGAGGGGAGATGCTAATGTGGAAAACCAGTGTGCAGATGTGAAGAAAAGACGAAAAGAAAAAATCACGTTACTGAAAGAGGGACTGCCATCACTTCAATGTAGATCATCACCTAATGTTTTGGTGAGAGCAATGAAACAACATAATGAGCAGCAAAAGAGGGAAGTTGAGAATATTGGGTTTGGTAGCTTGTTGAGTTTGGATATAACAGAGATGCCTTCAAAGCTGGCGTATTGGGTGGTGAGATCTTTTGACCCGAATAACTTCAAGATGACACTACGCGATGGAACTTTACAGGTGAAGGAGGAGGATGTGCAGCTGGTTCTTGGGTTTCCTAGAGGTAGTAAATCAGTTGTGAAGAAGAATAGGTTAGCAAAGTGTGCAGTGTTAGACGAGTGGAGAGCGTTGTTTCCGAAGAATGAGAATCAAATTACTCATACGGATGTGTGCAAAGCAATGTTAGAGTGTAGTGAAGGTGGTATATGGTTCATAAGACATTTTTTAGTGCTCCTCGTATCTGTGGTAATAGATAGCTATCCAAACGGGTATGTGAACCACCAAACTTTAAACAATT